CTCTAGTGTTCTTTATAGGAATATCAACCACCTAGTCCTTCCCTGCAGATCCTCAGGGCGGCCACAACGTGACCACATCCTGCCCCAAAACAATTCCACCCATCAAAAAGGCCAAGCCAGAACTGCTGGAGCTCAGCTGGGGAAAAGGAGCAGCAGCGACAGCCCCGGTCCTGGAGATGGACACACGAGATCTGTGAAGGAAAAGAGGCACCCAGAGGCACCAGCTGCCTCATGCTGGGGAAAATTCTTATTGTACCCCCCCTAGCAGGAGTGTAGCTGTGGGTGCAGCTGAGGGCAGCACGATGAAGGAAAGCTGCTGACAGACTTTTTAGCAACAAGGGGGGATGGTTTGAAACTAAAAGAGGGAGATTTAGGCTAGAGAGAGGGAAGAAACTTTTTACCCTGAGGGTGGTGAGCCCCTGGCCCAGGTTGCCCAGAGAGGTGGTCGCTGCCCCATCCCTGGAACCATCCCAGGGGAGGTTGGATGGAGCTCTGAGCACCCTGCTCTAGTTGGGGAGTCCCTGTCCCTGCAGGGGGTTGGACTAGGGGACCTTCAAATGTCCCTTCCCCCCCAAACCATTCTCTGGTTACATGATTCAATGATATAAGGCAGTAGTTCACAGTCTCTTTTCATATCCATTCTAAATTCTCATTTTGGGGGTTTTTGAGGTCCTGGCCTCGCTCCCACGGGGCTGGAGGAGCAGCTGAGGTGTGGGGAGTGCTCCTGAGAACACCCTCTGCAGGGCCTGCTCTTTGTCAGGGCCAGCACATGTGAGGTCTTCACACCCATGGTGCTTCCAGAGGCTGGATTCAAGGACAGGGTTGGGGAGAGGCTGTTCTGTGGTTTAACTCTTCTCCATTCCCCAAGGCTGATGGAAGTTTTGGGAGAACATGTTATTAAAGCAGCCCCCAGGCTGCTCTGATAGGCACTGGGATGAGCAGAGGATGAAGCAGGGCCTGGATGGCTTTGGAATGCACCAGTAAACCATAATTGAACACTTGAGGAGGATACATCATTTGTAGAGCTGTATTCCTTTAAAGAGGTAGGTAGATAGCCTAATTAATGATGAGGCAGCCATTAACCTTGAACATTAACCTCTGACTCCTGTCAGACACATTCAACTGATCTTAGATTTGACCCAGAGAAGCAGTTCCTACAGCAGCTGAGAGCACAAGAGCTCAGAACCCCTCTTGCTATGAAATCTTCAGCTACCTAGAGAAACTTGGTGGTTCTGGAGGATTCTTAAATACACAAGTTGTGCACTAACTAGGTCCATTTTCTCCTCAGCTCAGCTCCCTGAAGTTGGAACACTTGTGAGTCCAGAGAGTATGTCCAAGCTGTTCATCTGTGTCCAGCCTGAAGGGCAGTGACTGTGTGTGGTGAAGTTGTGACCCTGGAGCAGCAGCACAGGATGCAGAGAACGTGGGTGAAATCCTCTGGAAAGCAACAGCCATGGGATGCTCTGCAGTTGGTGCTGTCAGGCCTGGGCTGTAGCATGGAGACTAAAAGCCAAAGTTGTTTCAGCTAGGCCAGCCAGAAACAGCAAAGTGACCAGGGAAGAACTTGCAGACCAGAGGGATTGTCAGTGAAATGGCTGCAGAGAGGCTGGAGTTTGGCAAAGGGGCAGAAGTCAGGGTAGACAAAGTGAAACTGAAACAATCCTGCTGTGGAAGGACACACAGGGGCTGCTCCTGCACCCCTAAAGCTTCCCAAGGGCCAGTTCTCATTTACTGACAGCACTGACAGAGGGTTTTAACCTTGGCTCTGACTGTTCTTCTTTACTGGCATTCAGAATCTGGTTTGATTTATGAGACTTGTGAGTCAGCTCCTGTTTCTGGGATGTAGAGGTGAGCTGGTCTTGCCCTCAGCCTGGCACTGAACTCGTGTTTGTGCTGGGGTTGCTTTGGCTCTGTCACAGCAAAGAACTCTGCAGGGTCACCAGGGTGCTTAAAATCACATTGACATCTAGTCCTTCCTTCAGGCAAAGGCTCCATACAAGTGGGGTTTTTATAAGTGAGAAAAGAAGAGGGCAAGAAGGCTTCATGTTAGGAAAATTTACTGAAAGCACCAGCTGCTTTTGGGCAGCACTGGAATTTTTAGGTGGGCTCTTGTACAGAATGTAACATCTGCAGGTTTAGCAGTTGCTGTGAATAAACCATGGTGAAACTGGGAGTGTGTCTCACCCTTCAGGGACCAGAGATGTTCGTGGCTATCTGTATGACTCACTGCTGAATTAGGGACACATTAGCAAAGCAGCAGAGGCCTCAGCTGAGCGTGGGACTCTCTCATGGACGTAGACAGAGAGACAGTCACTGCCCCAGAGCAGTCACAGCATCAACAGACTTGGCAGAGTAAGGACTGGAGGGAAACAGAAGCTCAGAGAGAGGCTGGCACAGCACAGCCAGTGTGGGGAGTAAAACCTCAATCCTCTCATCTCTCCTGCTGCCTACAGACTGCATCCCACTGTACTGGAAGGAAAAACAAAAAAAAAAAGGCAAAAAAAGGACAACTGGTATTGTACAGAACTGTGCTCTGGAAATGGAAGCAATGTTCCTAAAGCAGATGCTTTAAAAACTGTCATTAATTAGGAAGAGCCTTGATGGGACTTGAGCAAATCACTGTGCAGGGAAGTGTCCATGATTTTTAGCTGTATCAGGACAAGACAACCAAGGTGTTGCAGCTCTTCTTTATCTCAGCATCTCCAGTCCCAGGCCATGACCAACACCATGTCCCCCTTCCTCTTATCACACCCCAGCCCTTCTGCAGCTCACAGCACAGGCTCCAAGAGCCTTTCTTTCCCCTGCTCCTTTTTACCTTCCATGGAGATATGTATTAAAGCAGAATCACTGGAGGAGATATATGTAATTAACCATTTTATAATCAAACTCAAAACATTTGAGATATGCTGAACTCCAGAGACTGTTTTTTTGAAGACTGGAGATTTCACTGCCCCAAGTCTTCCCCCGGTACAAGCAGCAAGAAGGTCTGGTCAGGGAAGCACTGGGGAAAGGTTGAGAATCTTTTAGGATAACTCCTTCCTTCTTCAATGAACTCTGGGCTGACAGATGCTATCCCAGTTTTCATGACATACTTCAGTTGCCAGGATCTAGCAACACCCCTAAATGCCTCTCAGCAGCCTCCTGTGCACAGTAAGCTCTAGAGTGAGCACACAATACAGGCTCCTTCTGAAAGGCTCAGCCTAAAGGCAGCTCAGGACACAATCCTTAACACATCAGGTACAAAGACAGCCTCCAAAAGAGTCCCCTACAACATAAAGCAGCAGCTTCCCTCAACTGGAGATGCAGAAAAGCATCTGACTGAAAAAAAAAAACAAAAAAGAAGGCATAAATCTGAGCAGAGAACATGCTTTATTGAGAAGTAGATACAAGAATAGCACATTCTACCACATCATGGGAACAGGGGTGAGCTTCTGCACAGAATGGCCTTCTTCCCTACTCCACGAGAGATCTACTTGGCTGGAGAGTTGCAGGAGTTATCTGTGGTTAGTTACAATACAGGAGGAAAGGGCAGGAGCCAGCGAAATTCAGTAATGCCCACAAGGTACACACCATGTACTGATCCTTTTTGTTTGCTTTTTTTTATATTTAAGGAGGCAGAGAAAGGCAGACAACCATTGGGAGAGCAGCAGGCAACTTTGCCACATTAGGATGGGTCAGTGGTTAACAGGAAATGGCTCCAAACTACTGGTACCTTGCAGGTGGTTCATTTCAGGCACTGTTCCATGAGGAAGCAGTGGAAGGCTGCAATGAAACCAGCACTACACAATGCTGCCAGTGCCCACCTCGAGATCATCCCCCCTTCTACTGACACTGGAGCCACAGGGGAAACTCGTGGCACAAGGAGAGTGGTTATACTTGAAAGCCATGGTAGGACAGCTTCTTCTGGTGGTGCTGATGGGAGAGAGGCAGTAAAAGCTTTGTTGGTTTCACAAAGACAAAGGAGAGCACACTGGCAGAGAAGGAAAGCTGCCAGGAGCTGCCCCTGATGCCCAGGCTGCAGGCAAGCCACCCACCAATGCCAGCTGCAGCATGGAGCTTCTGTGGCTGGTTTGGACAAGGCTGGTGAAAATCTGGCTGAAGTTTTGATTTCTTCAGTTCAGAGGGAAAAAAAATGATCTTCAATAGAAAGAGAGCTACAATTTAAGGAAGACTGCTCCAGGAAAAATAACTCCAGTGATATATACTGAACAGGCTGCTCCTGTGTGAAGGAACCCAAGAGTTAAACCAGTGACTTCTACTCCAAGAGCTGTCTCTGAGAGATGTGGCACTGCAGCAGCTCCAGGAGCACGTGCCCAAGAGCAACTCCATCAAACACCTCAGCCTGGGCTCCTCCAGGGTAACACCAACCCCCACACCACTCTGCTAGGAGATACTGAGCTGACTGTACAACATGAACTATGTGGAGACCCTGCTATATTCTGTGGCAAACACTGCTGAGAGAGGTGGCACGTTACCTCACTACAACTATGAGATGTGGGACAGAACAGTCCAGCAGACAGGAGTAGTTAAAAAATGCTGAAGTCAGTGTCACTGCAACTTGTTGGAAAGCCACACTTTCCCCCAAACAAGCATTCTTAGACCTTGTTCAAAAGCCACAGAAGTTATCTCCGTTCCTCAGAACGGAAGGAACCTGAAGGAAGAGACAAGCAGATGAAAGGACACGACACAACCTCATGGGAGTGAGAACATGAGGGTGAGACCAGTGACTGGACAGGTACAGTACCAGGTATCAGAACTCCTCGGGCCAGGAGCTTCGTTTGGGTCCTACACAGATCCAATCCTTGCAACCTCATTGAGGCCGAAACATCAAGTTCCTCAGAACTAGTGTCTGTGGGGTGCACAAAAGATCCGGGCCAGGACAGTACCAAGGGGAACTGATCTTTCAGAGGGCACTGTACCCACCAATCACAACAGCAACAGACACACAGAGATCCCTAGGGTGCTTCCTACTGCTGGGGTGCACTGGCTTCAGGAGGGATGGACAGTTAAGTTCCCTTAGGAGGGGTCCATTTCAAGCAGCTGGGATCCATTATCTTGTTGCTGTTGGATCTTTTGGCCTCTTTGGCTATCCATTCATCAATCAGATCCTAAGGAAATGAGCACAAAGGGCAGGTTAAAACAAATGAATCATCCATGGCATGACACCACACAGCTGCAGATGACAGAGTGCTGGCTGCTGAGAGTGAAGAGGACCACGATGGGAAGGTTGATCCACAGCTCCCCTAAAATGCCACCTACAATGAGCCATGTCTCTCCACACAGCAGGAGGGGAAGGTCAACACAGCATCTTTCTGCACTACAGAAGGATCAGCTCAGCTGCCCACGTCCTGTTTTATCAGTTACTGTGTTTGAAAGATGACACAGCTCCCCCACCAGAGTGGAGAGGCTGGAAAAACCCAGCAGCAGGGAAGGAAACACTGATTTCTGCAAGTTTCTAACAGCTAAAGAGGATGAAACACAAGTACAACAGCCATTGCAAATCTTACCTGTCTTTTTAGGACCAGGTGCTTTCCCTTCCAGTACTTGAGCATCTGGAGTGCCTGCAATGTGCTGACAATGTCGACAGGGTTTACTGCAGTCTCCTGGCTGATCTCTGCAAACCAGAACCAGTTCAGCTTACAACAAAACCCAAATTCCTCCACAACAGCCTGTAACAGTTTCCAACTCCAAGTTGTACACAACTCCTTTGGAAGTGACCCATGCTGAGGAGGTATGTGCAGTGTAACTGCTGCTGCTGGACTCAGACCCTTCAACCACCCTGGTGAACACCTTTGCTCAGGCCACTCTGAGCCACAGGCTCTACTTGCAAGCCCTGAGAGCTGCACAGGGACAGTCCCAGTCCCACTCACCCCAAAACCCAAAGCCAGCCCAGAAATCACAATGATTCAGTGACACTAGTTTTAAGATCCAAGTTAATAATCCTCTGAAAAAAGCAGCTGCTTCTTCAGAACTGGGGTGATAGTTCTGTGAATGCTGCACACACCCAAGTGCCACAACCATAAAAATGCTCTTGAGGGAAGTCCAAATTATCTTCCTATTTTTTTCCAAAAGCCTCTCAGTGAAGCCATTTTTCTTTTTAAAATTCACATTCTCATTTCAAATGGACAAAGTTCTTTGCTGAATTTTGGTTTTAAATGTATTTTTTTGACAGCAGCAGCCAGTGTGTCCTTGGAAAACTCTGCAAGCTGGTTTAACTTTCATGGTGGCAGGACTGGAAAGGAGCCAAGCCCAGCTCCAGGAGGACTCCACCAACTGCATTGCTACACAAACACCTGCACTAATGAGTCAAGCATGACCTGCCTCATAGCTGAGGGAAAGGAGTGAGTTGCACAGGTAGATGCTGTTTCTCAATCCCCTACAGGCTTATTTAGCTTCAAAACATACCTTTGATAGAGATTTCTTTGCCTTGGAAGTTATGCAGGTAACGAAGGAGAACTTCCTTCCAGTAGCTACGATAGCTGATGAGACCCAAATCAGACAGGGGGCGTTCTGGGGAGCCAACTTTTTCTTCTACTTTAGAAAGCAAATAGCCTGTGAAGGGAAAAAAACATGTTTGTCCTCCCCTGAACTCCTCTCTCCTGGCCCTCACCCTCTTTGGCACGTGAAGAAATCAGCTGTAATGAAAACTGCTCAACCACCCCCAGAGATACATTGGATTTCTTGGTGAAATTGTTGTGTTGGCCAAATTAAGTTTCCAAAATTTCTCTCTCTGTACTTACTGAAGTCAATGAGCATCTTGCCATAACCTTGCCTCATGTATTGGGGCATGGTCAGGATACAAGAAACGTTGTAGTTGAGGAAAGAATTCTTCTCCTAGAAACAAGAGCAGAGGGAGGAGAGGTGAACAGGTCTAGATCTGTACAAACAAGGGGTGTATCACAACCCCAGCAGAGCCAACAAGCCTGCACGACTGACACAACCCAAGGGGAAAGCAGCAGCAGGAGAAGAACCTGCTCAACGACAGGTAACGTGATCACCCTGCAGCTCCCAGCCTGGCTCAGAGTCTTCATTTTAGCCATCAAATCTGGTGTTTGGGGCACAGTTTTAACCCTAGGATGGCTGGTGAGGGAGTTGTGCCTGAGGAGGAGCCAGTGACACTTTCACTGCCACTTCTGTACCCTACCAGGTCTACATGCAACACAAAAGCAAAGTAACAGCAGCATTAAGAGCATGTGATAAAGGCTGAAATGTTCAAAGACCCTCAGACAATCATCCTCAGATCAATGGTGATTTTTTTTTAAAGCATTTTTTTAGATGTCTATCCAGTTTTGTCTCAGCTGATTTAAGGAATATAGTTTCCTGCACTTTATTTAGGAGAATATTCTCTTACTTGAGTGAAATATCTAAGCTGATAACTGCATTGCATGGTATCAGGAGGGAAACCACTGTTCCTGAACCACCAGGAAATGTATTCCACCAACGTGCAGAGGATAAACCAACACTGGTGATAATTTTCAGGCAGGCAGCATGTCAGAGCAAACAGCTGAGAAAATCAGCTCCTGTCCTACCCTTGGCCAGTGACTGACTTGTGGCATCTGCTTAAGTTATGTCCCAGCTTCCCCATCTGAGAAGTTTTATTGCTTCATGTACTAATGATGACTAAGAAGGGTGACTAATAATGTATTTTTCTCTACACTTCTTTACATTTCCTTTAGCTTTACTTCTGCCCACGTTTAAGACAACACCAAGCTTCCTAGCAACAACAGTTCAAGGGATTTGCTGTTTGCTAATAATGAGAACAGATGCTACAGCAAAGCACCTGCACAGAACCACAGAACTGTTAGGGCTGGAAAAGACACTAAACCATGTCCCCAAGTGCCACATCTACAGGGTTTTTGAAGCCCTCCAGAGATGGTGACTCTGTAAACTCCCTGGGCAGCCTGGGCCAAGGCCTCACCACTCTGCCAGGAGAGAAATTCTTCCCAAGATCCAACCTAAACCTCCCCTGGAGCAACTTCAGCCCGTTGCCTCTCATCCTATTGCTGGTTCCTTGGGAGAAGAGACCAACCCCCACCTCACTCCAACCTCCTGTCAGGAGCTGTGCAGAGCCAGAAGGTCTCCCCTGAGCCTCCTCTTCTCCAGGCTCAACACCCCCAGGTCCCTCATCTGCTCCATGTTCCCCAGACCCCTCCCCAGCTCCATTGCCCTTCTCTGCACCTGCTCCAGCCCCTCAAGGTCTTTCTGATCCTGTGGTGCCCAAACCTGACCCCAGGACTCGAGCTGTGGCCTCCCCAGCG